CACACGTGCTCCCGTCTCTGACGCTGTGTATCCCTCCGAGATGTGTGCACGGCCTGCCTTTGCACCCTCGTGGGCAGCCCTTCCGCACATCTGCCTCCTCTGCAGGTGAGCCCAGCGAACGAGCTGGAGGAAGTGGCAGTCAGCAGGCAGGAAGACGCCAAGGCCGCAGCTGCAACCACGCTGAAGGCTCTAGGCCTGCTGCAGCCAGACTTCCACAGTCTCATCTTGGACCTGGGAGCCCTCTCCTTTGTGGACACCGTGTGCATCAAGAGCCTGAAGAATGCAAGGGGCCACCGCTGCAGGCTCCGCTCTGCCCGTCACTGTCCCTGACAGCCCTCTGAGTCCTCCAGAGCCCTCCCCAGCCTGCCCTGTTGCCCTCTGAGCTCAGCCCCTTTTCTGTTGCAGATTTTCCGAGACTTCCGTGAGATCGAGGTGGAAGTGTATATCGCAGCCTGCCACAGTGCGTTGGCTGGGGCCCACAGGAGCAGTCTGGGAAGAGGGTGGGATTCTTTGGGCCAGGGAGTTTGCCAGGCAACACAAAGAGAAGGAAGCTGGAGGTCAGAGGTTTCCTGGGAGGCAGGACTGACTGGTATCCCACTCTAGCCCCAGGGGTGACGGGTGTTGTGCATTCCAAGATGCTTGGGGGTTGGTGTTCCTGGTGGGCCTGAGAGTCAGGGGAGATCTTGCCTGCAGGCCCTGTGGTCACCCAGGCAATTCTTTGATGCATCCATCACGAAGCAGCATCTCTTCGTCACTGTCCATGATGCCATGACTTTTGCCCTCCAACACTCAAGGTCTGGCCCCAACAGCCCTGTTTTGGTAAGCCGACTTCTGGCCCCTGAGCTGTTTCTTGTTAACCTGTCAGGTTCCTGCACTGACCCCACTTGCAGGAAGTTCACCCCATCTTCTGTGGCTCTGTTCCCAGTGAACCCATGGTCTCCCCACCCAGCCTCACCCTGCCCTTGGACCAGGCTGTTCCTGGGGCAGGGGGTGCAGCTGGCAGGGTTGGGTGGGAAGGGTGTAATGTGTCCTTTGGAAACTGACTGGAGGCTCCCCTCCTCTGCCCACTCAGGCCACCAAACTCTGACTGCTGCCAGCTGCCCGACCCTGCCCACCTCTGGAGGTTGTGATGGAGCACCCTCGAGAAGCCCCACCCAGGAGTCCCCTCCACGCACATACACATGTAACTCAGGGATGGAGGTACTGGGACTCCAAGCACAGTGTTATCAGCCCGGGCAGGGTGCTACAGTCAGGCTGGCCTGGGCTGCGTGCAGGGAAGAGCCAGTGTTTCAGGCTCAGGAATAAAGGCATGTCTGCTCCTTCCAGGCTCTGCTGTGGCTGGTTGGGGCTTGACTGGCGGCTCGTGGTCTACTGCTCTGGCTTATGACCTTCTCGTGCCTCAGGGTGGAGGCTGGAGACCAAAGCTGGGAAGGGGGATTTGGAGACAGCCGGGTCAGGCAGGGAGTGGGCGGAGCAGGGGAGCTGGAGGCCGTCCCCAGCTCTGGTTTCTCCCCAGCCACACAGACGCTCTCAGATCCTGGCTGGAAGACGTTGCCCTTCCAGCTGCTTCTCAGGAATCTCCTGTTCTCAGGGACACTTAGTAGGTGGCACAGCAGGGTGGATGCCACTGGGCAGGCCCTGGGTGTGTGGAGTGGACCTCTAGCACACGATTGAGGAAGAACAGCTGCTTACTGTTTCCACTGATCTGCTTTTAAATAAGAGTACCAGGCGTGGGGGTGCAGGCCTGTAATCAAAGCACTCAGGAGGCAGAGGCAGGAGGGTTGTGGTGAGTTTGAGGCCAGCCCGAACTACATCATTTTTTTATGTTTTTTATGCTTTAGCTTTTAATAAACTTTGTCACTATGTGCAAATATTTACCAACATTTGTACTTGTGTTAGCTCTAACAGAGGGTATTCATTTGCATTTTTCTCTTGGCTCAAAAATAGAGACTACACACATATATACAGACACAAAACAGACACAAACACACACAATCTTTTCTTTGTGCATCTTAATTTGGGAAGAATTTTCCAATAGTGGCCTTATAAGTAAGCCTTTTAAATGACAAAATTTTGCACAAGAAAAGAAAATAAACGTTTTCCTACACTATTTTTCCTTGCACGTGTGATTACAATCTAAAACGTTTTAGATCTTTGAGCACAGATACATTAAACTTGGCATTTAGGTCTTTGGTAATCTCTGAAACAGGAGGTGGACCTGTTACACATATTACTACAGTAGACTTCACCCTGGAACATCGAGATTTGCCTGCAATTTTAGAATAAAAAATTACTTCATGCAGTAGTACGTTCCAAACACTCATTTAAATGGAGAGAAATCATGATGTATGGTGTAATAGGTCATTACAACTTCTCTTACTAATTTATATCATGCAATTTTCCCTTAATAAAAAGTTGTTTGGCTATTATCTTTTTCCCCCATAATGTTATTGAGAAACAAATAGCAATGAGAAAGTTTCAAACCAAATCAGTAGGACAGTTTCAAAAATTAACACATTACATACATTCTCCTTAGTGGTTAATTGCTGTACAAGATGCAGATATGATATCCTATCTACAACCACTATTAGAACAAATCCCTCTATTCATTAGAAGAATGTAACTATATATCTATCCTAACCATTTTGAATACACAGATACAAAATGGACATTCATCTGTATACTTTTTTTTTTGTTTAGTTCCGTCATTTGAATATTATAGGTGTGTAAACTCAGCAAAATATTCCTAAAATAGTCCAGTAGTCCATAATAGTATTGGGTCTTCCACTTGACTTGCAATGTCAGAAATTGTTGACCTGCACCCCCTACAGCTCAACATAACACCATGGCTTTACTTCTTATACTTCATTTTTATACTTTTCTGCTGAATGGTTAAGACCAAGGTAAAGCAGGACCTATGCAACAAGGGTTGTAGCTTTTGGGTCTGACAAGGTCAGTGAAATTCCCTCAAGATTTATCCTGAGATCCTGTACCTCAGATTGTAGAACCTTTGTCAGTGTCAGCCATGTGGATGAGTTACGACCCTTGCTTGGCCAATGTGTTCTCTGTGAAAGCCTGAGAGAATGTTTTCTCTCCATGTGACTCTCCTTAGGCACACTCTACATCATCGATCACTTTCCTCTTTGGCCCATAATCTTGATCAGAAAATGTGGGACGCTACCGAGTTACATGATGTTACAATACAAGTTCTCATACGTCCTGAGTCTTAATTGACCTTGGAAGGCTAGGGCCAAAATATTGGCTTTCCTTGCAGCCCTCTTTTTTCTCTAATTTTGGTCTGCAAACTTAGGTTGTTAACCCTCCAGAAGACAAGCTTATTGTTATTACCATACAACATAGGCTGTTAAGCTTAGCCTCACTGTCTGAATATCAAACATCTTAGGCATAACATGGACCAGGTATTTTTCATCAAGTATTGATATGTTGAACTTTAAGTCCCTACAGAATATGATGAAAAAGCATTTAAAAATTAGAATATATTTTAAAAAATAGTCATAAAGAATTATATAATTCTTATATGTTTACACATAAGTCCAAAAATCTAACCATATACAACCTTGAAGCAGTAGGGTCCCACAACATTCCTTTTCCTGTCTCTTGCCTTCATTCACCACCCCCTTCTTTTTGAACAGTCATCTACCTGAGAGATACCACAGCAGCAACTGGCATGTCATGATAAGCAGCCCGTATTCAGAAGACCAGAATGACAGGCACTCCAAGCATGAAACTACTATTACAGATTGCCATCTTCAGTGCAGTTGCTTAGTTCACAGGTATCAGTATATATAGTTAGTCAGGGTGAGAATCTTTCTAATTAACGCTAGATTCAAAAATCTTCTGGAGATTCTCAGGATCATTGCCTTGCCCATCTTCTACATATGACTATATGGCTTGTCACTGTCATGTTTCCTAGCTCTTCTCCTTTCCCTCTCTTAATTAGTTAGTCCTCGAGTTCCTGCTTTCCATTTCTGAGCTACATCTCGAGAGCGTGTCTTTAAAAGAACAAATGTGGCTGATTGCCTGCTCTTATAATTAGATCACTGGGTTTGGCAGAGCACTGTCAGCCAAGAAGCATGTGCTGGCTCCTGCCATAAAATGCCACCATCAACTGGTAGGGGGCTTCGCCCAGCTGAGGGAGATGTGGAGGCATGTGAGCATCTCTCCGGGCCTCACCTCCTGGGCTGCCTCACCTCCTGGCCAGGGATGGGGGCGGAGTAGAAGTAAGTAGTAGTAAGTTCTTCAGGCTCTTGCCTCCGGGGCTGCTCAGTGAATGTCAAGTGAGCAGACTCCCCGAGATGCTTAGAACAGGGCAGGGCGCAGGTCACCTGTTCAGGACGTGTGGGCTTTGCCTCTGGCCTGTCCAGGCAGGGCCGGGCCCTGGGCTGAGTGCTGCTCTTAGTCCTGACAGAGGCAGAGGCTGCCTTGCCCTCCACACCACCCAGGCACTCTTGCCCAGTCCTGTTTTTATCGTGGCCAAGCAGGTGCCTGGCACCATGTTTATAAAGCACCTGCTGCCCCCAGAACCCACAGCTCTTCGTCTGCCCTGTCACGTTGCTTTCTGGCACCAGGAACAAGCGCTCAGTAAATATTGGTTGAATGAAACCTGCAGGCTAGAGTGGGAGGCAGACCTCAAACAAGGAATCAGAAAGGCAGAGGAAACAATGCAGGGTCATTTTAGAGAGAAGGCGCTCTGTTACCCAATGTAGTCATGGGACAGAGGCTCAGGGAGGTGGTGACACTTGAAAGGAAACTCCAGCTGTGAGAAAGTGACTTTCTGGAAGGGGCAGCATGAATCTCCAGGCTTTGCTTATTTGTATGTATTTTTTAAGTTTCAGAGATTGACCCAGGGCCTTTGCACTAAGCTATAGCCCAGACCACAAGGTCTCACTGCATAGTTCAGGCTGGTCTGAACTCAATATGTAGCCCAGGCTGGCCTCAAACACTGTGGCAGTCCTCCTGCCTCAGCCTCCCTAGTGCTGGAGTTACAGATGTGCACCACCACATCTGGTTCTTTTTTATTTTCAAATGTTGAGGCAGGGCCCAGCTAAGTTGTCCAGGCCGGGCTTGATGAGATCCTGTGCCTCAGTCTCCCAGTGTTGGGCTCCAGGCACATGCGGCTTTGCCTGATAGTGAGAGGAGCCATTGTTCTGAGCGCTGACTCTGCAAGGTGGCCAGAGGGACTGGGTGGGTGCCAGGCTGTGGGGCTGCCCAGTTGTCCTCTGCTTGGTAGGCCCAGCACAGAGCAGCAGGCCTCCAGGGTTATGGCGCTGTTAGCCTTTCAGGTGGATAGGGTGAGGCAGAGGTTGAGGAATGAAGCACTCCTTCAAGACGTGCCATTCTTTCCCAGCCCTGGAACTCAGGCCCTGACTCCCCTTTTCTGGCTGGGCCTCCCCTCAGGAAGGCCCTGGGCCCAGCTGGAGCCTGCAGCCTCAGAGCAGGGCCTGCTCTTGGGGGAGGGGTGTTTGCTAGTTGCCAAGCAACCGAGTTCCGGCCCCTGGCAGTGGCCACAGATATGCTGCAGGCCATGTCCCTACTTCCCTTGCTGCTCCTGCTGGCAAAGCCTGCTCCTACCCTTGCCTGGTCACGGCCCCTCTGGTACCAGTTGAAGCTGGACTTACATCCCTGGGCATGCGAGCCAAGCAGCCCAGAGGCCTGTGGGAGCACCCTGGGCTGTGTTGGTCATTGGACAGGCCTGGGAGGGAACCGCATGTACCCTGCGGCTGGGGTCATGATCACCACCACCATGATGCTAGTGATGAGTCGTCCGATGATGCAGCGGTGGCGTTCACAGGTGACCACGGGGGGGGAGCACAGCACGCCTGTCCTTGGCACCTGTCTCCCCTCACGTCCACTGGGCCCATAGCCTCTGCCCAGCCCTTCCCAGCAGACTGTATGGGGCTCTGCGGGCCTCCTGCGTGGCTTCTCCCTCCCCTGCACCTTATTGTCCCTGCAGCCACCAGCCCACAGGTCTCCATGACAGCAAGCAGTCCATTTCCATCAATCCCCACAGCTGTCCTCCCAGTCCGGCACTCCCGTTAGTCTCTGGCCCTCATCTGGCCCCTAGCCCATGGCAAGCCCTCAGTGCTTGTCACCCACAGCCTCCTTTCCCAGCCCTCTGGCTGCCCTCTAGCCCTACACCCTGTCTAGCTCTGTTGCCACCCCTTGGCCCCCTCCCCTTGCTCACTCCCATCTCTTTGTCCTATTCTCAGCACCCACGGGTGACCACTAGCCTCTCCGGACCCTCGAAGCGACGGGCTCCGATCTCAGACCGCGCCCTGCTCCTCAGGGTCCTTCACATGCTGGATGCCCTCCTGTTCCACATAGAGGGCCATCTGCAGCGCCTAGCCACCCAGCAGTGCAAATAAAGGAGACTCCCACCCCACCTGGGTGACCTGACGCATGTGTCTCTGTCTGAGGGCCAGGTGCAGGGAATGGGGTGGCCTGAGACCCTCTTCTGTCAAGGCCCTATGTCCACACCTGGAGCCCACTGAGGACTCGGTGCCTGGCATGGGTGAGCAGCGGGCCAGGATCCTACCTGCACACGCTGCCTCTTCTCTAGCTCACCCAGGAGTGGGGGACCTCCAGTGAGGGGAGAAGACTGGGCTGGAGGGCAGGAATGGGAGTCCAGCTAGGGCCACAGGCAGAGCAGTGCACTGTGTTCTGTGGAGGACTGTGGGTACACCAGGGGTGGCCACAGGCAGAGCCAAGGCCGTGGGCAAGGTGGGCAGGGGTCATCTGTGAAGGGACTTGTGCCAGCTGAGGGTCTCATATGTATGTGGCACGTGAAGCAAAGGTTTGGGCCTGAGACAAGCAGGGGGCAAGTGAGGAGGCTGGGAGTGGAGCCCAGAGATCCCTGATAGAGACCAAACACCAGGCCCCAGTCCCTGTGTAGTGACACCCACTGTTTCTATCACCTCAGAAGCTGACAGTGAGTGACCCTGTGATGTTAGCTCTGCCACCAAAACCAGCTAGATCTGGTTTCCTTCTGCCCCAGTCTGCCAGGCCCTCCCCGAACAGTGTCACTGCTCTGAGTCCCCAGATCCTTGGTTCCTCCCCTGATCATGATGGATGTGGGCCCAATGTCACTTCAGCAAGCTGGAAAGTAAGATCCATCCTGAGATCAGTAAGAAAAATCAATGAATAAAAAGGAACTAATATGAAGAGCCCTGGGGACACTGTCAATCAAAATAATAAATGTACTGTGGGATTTCCAGAAGGAGAGCAAAGAAAAGAGAAAAAATCTGATGCAGAAGCAGCAATCCTATAATCAAGAGGAGAAGGGAGGAAGCTAAGCACATGCAATACCCAGTTGTCTTCAGGGCATGCCAGCCGAGTGCCTGCCCCTGCCCTCAGTTCCCCAGCTCCAGTCCATGCCAGATGCCTGCGGCCCCCGGAGGCAAGAGCACTGTGCTGTTCCTCCGTCGCCTCAACCTCCGCTTTGTGTTCTCCACAGAGAGGGCACAAGAATGTAAGACTCAATCACAGAGTCGTCAGTACTGCTACGGTTTCCCACTTCTGTCATCTGGTGTGGACTGACACAGGCAAGAAGCAGGAGGACCGTGACCCACGAGCATTCCCTGGTGTCGGACCCCAGCCACACCACTGCTCAGGAACAGGGGATCTTTTATTTTCACTAAAGTTTTTGTTTCTTGATTTGTTTCTTTTTGAGATGGAGTCTCACTATGTAATCCAGGTTGGCCTTGGACTCTAGATTTATTATTGTAATGCTTGTCAACCTTTTGTTATGAGCCCCCCTCTCAGGTGTTTTCCCCAGTACTGTCCTGGGCAAGGGCACACCTTCACTGTACTATGTCCCCAGACTTTTTTATGTATTTAGTTTGTTTTGAGACAAAAAGAGCCCTGGTGAGCTGCCTGGGCCTGGCTTTGAGCTTGTGATCCTTCTGGTTCAGCTGCCTTAGTGGCCAGGATTTCAGGTGTGCACCTCACTCCCAGCTCCTATCATTTTAACCTTTTCTTTTTGCATGCTAGGGAGAGAACCCAAGGCCTCACCCATGATAAGCACATGCTTACCACTGAGCTACACTGTTCAGCTCTGTTTTCATTGTATTTTAATCTGCTTCTGCTTCTATTTTTGAATTTATAATATTGTGCTGATCTAAAATATGTGTGCCACAATGTCCAGCTCTTTTATTTTATTTTACTTTTTAAATTTATTTTATTTTATTTTGAGATAGGATCTCGGTATGTTGTTCCAGCTGGCCCTGAACTCACTGTGCAACCCAGGCTGTCTTTGAACTTAAGACAATCCTTCTGTCTCAGTCTCCCTAGTACTGAGAGTACAGATGCATGCCACCATGCCTCACTTTTATCTTTTTAAAATTAATTCATTTACTTATTGTGGTACTGGGAATTGAATCCAGGCTTTGCACTGAGTTCCATCCCCAGGGTGCTGGAATAGGCCATGTCACCACATCCTGCTAGGATCCTGGGATCTTAAAGAAGGCATCTGTTGCAGGGGCTTCTCCATCACTGGTTGTAATGGCGCCCTTCTGTAGGTCCGGACAAATGGCCTTGCCATGGCTGCCGTATGGGTGAGGCCCTGAGACCAGTTCAGCACATTCTGCTCACTGCCAAACCCAAGGAAGGGCCGGATGGCTAGACGCTGAGCAGTGTGAGCACCAGACCCAATGCTCTAAAGAGTGTATTTCTCCAAGAAGCGAGTCCTAGACTGCAGTGGGCAGCCCTGAGCTCAAGCCTCGTTTGCAGGTTTTTTCCTGCTTAAAACACAAGACCTCAGATTCAGCCAAGATGCAGGGTGGCAAGGGCAGGCCTCTCCTGTAGGGACAGGGGAGGCTGCCCGTCGTCACTCTGGGGAGAGTGGCCTGAGCTGTGCAGTGAGCCAGGGCACCGGAGGTGAATGACAGATAAGTCGGGGGCATCGCCCACATCCTGCTAAACCTGAACTGAGAAGACAAGTAATGGCTAAATGCCAAATGTGATGGAAGATACGAATATACACATCCGAGAGGGTCTCAGCCCTCCATGCAGGGTAAGCTCAGAGACAAACATTGAGACACATGAAGGTCAAGCTGAACTAATCAAAATCCAAAAACCAAAACTTGTGAAAGCAATAGAAGTTACTTATTGTGTGAAAGAATTCTTTTTCATTTATTTTTATTATTTTTATGTGTTGGTACCAGAAATCAAACTCTGGACTTTTGCTTATCAGGCAGGTGCTTCATCCCCAGTCCCTTTTTTTATTTTTAAAAAATAATAAATAATTATAGTATAAATAACTATAACTATAAATAATTATAGTAAGAGATATATTGACATTTACACACACATATCCTGCCAGGTATTCCATCTCTCTCGGATATGTATAGGAATTCTAAATAAGACTAATAACTGATTTCAGAACTTAGGTACAGAGGCCTGAAGGCTTAGGAATGGCATATATAAAATTCTGAAGGAAAAAAAAAAGTCATCCAAAACTTTTACATCTAGAAAACCTATAGGTACACACCTACAATCTCAGCACTTTGGGAGGCTGAGGCAGAAGGATCACAAGTTCAAGCCTAGCCCAGACACCTTAGTGAAGCCCTGTCTCAAAATAATACTTGTAATAATAATCATGATGATAATAAAATAATGGGCTGGGGATGTAGAGACCTGGGGTTCAATCCTCAGTACCACAGAAAACAAAAAAGCAGTAAATTCTGCCAACACACATAGGAGTGAGTGAACTGCTTTTGCCCTGACAATTGGCCAGTTTTCCTTTTTCCTTTTCTGTTTCTTTTGTTATGGTTTGTGTCTAGGTGTCACCCCAAAGCCTTATGCAGTCATGAGGTGGCTTCTGGAGTTTGTGATTGATGATTGTGGGTGTGGATGCTGCACCTGCCCTGGGGCAGGTAGTTTGCATTACAATGTAAGGAGGGGAGAGAAGCTAGCTAGCTGCCTGAGCTGCTGCCACTCCCTTTGCTCTCTGAAGTAATAGTTCAACAGCGGCAAAATGATGCAAAGAAAATAATATGACTGATAGATGTCAATAAAAAAGCAGCAGTCAACACAAATGACATAAAAAGACTATTTGCATAAGTAATAGAAGAAAATTTTCCAAGCATAGGAAAAGAATCTGACATTCACCTAAGTGAGACATATAGAACTCCACTTATGCATAACCTAAATAAATCTATATCCAAGCATATAATAGTCAAGATCTCAGAAATTTATCACAAGAACAGAATATTAAAAGCTGTGTAGCCAGGTGCGGTGGTGCATGTCTGTAATCCCCACACTTGGGAGGCTAAGGCAGGAAGTTTGCTACAAATATCAAGACCATCCTCGGCTACAAAATGAGCTCAAGTTCAGCCTGAACTGAAAAAGACAGAAAGAAAGAAAAGAAAAGAAAAGAAAAGAAAAGAAAAGAAAAGAAGAAAAGAAAGCAAGCAAGCAAGCAACCAAGTGAGTTTTGACAGAAAAGAAATATTACCTATAAAGAAAAACCTATGAGGGCTGGAGAGATGGCTCAGTGGTCTAAAGCACCTACTTAGAACAAGCTTAGCAAAGCACAGTGGACTGCGGTTCAATCCCCCAGCACCACATGCCAGCCAGCCCCACCCCCTGCTGGGCTGAGCTGGCCACACACACACACACACACACACACACACACACACACACACAATAAATAAAAAAAAATGTAAAAATAAGAAAAACCTATGAGAACTGGCAGACTTCTCAACACAAAACTTAGGTCAAGAAGTATTTTGAGTGAAGTTTGTCCAATCCAGAAAGAAAATACCTTCCATCCATGTTGATGTACCCTGCAAAAATATCTTTCAAAATCAATGGAGAAATAAGATACTTCCCTGAAAACAAACAGAAGAAAATTATGACCCCAAACCAACCCTACAAAGAGTACTGAAAGATATTCTAGGTAAAGATAAAAATGACCATAATTCCAAGAACAGCAGAAAGAGACAACCAGGCAGGGCAACCATTAAACAGAGAGGAAAAGCAGGGAATTACCAGCAGGAAAATAACATGATAGAAATAACCCAGTACATATCAGTTACAAACATCAATGTAAATGCCTTCAATTCAACAGTAAAAAGAGAGACTAGATTGAGAGACAAGACCCAACAATACGCTATATACAGGAAACACACTTAACTCGAAAAGAAATTCAAAGTCTGAAAGTAAAAAACTGGAAAACAATACTGCATGTGTCAAGAACCCAGGAAAAAATCAAGGGTAGCTTATCTGTTTGCAAATAATGTAAACTTCAAACCAAGAAGGATCAAAAGCGATTTAAATAAATAAATAAATAAATATATAAATAAATAAAAGGGTCATTGCAGAACTGAGCATGGTAGCGCATGTCTATAATCCCAGAACTCGGGAGGTTGAGGTAGAAGGATC